GATCGAAACTTGGCAAATCTATCAGGCACATACTGAAGTGGTGCCTTTTGATATTTTGGGATCTTTCTAAAAAAAAAATTTTTTTAATTTTTTCCCCCCCGGCATGTAATGCGGGGGGATATAGCGATCAACCAGTCTGTCTGTCCGTCCGTCTGTCCGTCCGTAATCATTTCCTTTTCCGGGGCAGAATTCGAAGTCCATTCAGTGTATTTGATCGAAACTTGGCAAATCTATCAGGCACATACTGAAGTGGTGCCTTTTGATATTTTGGGATTTTTCTAATTTTTATTTTTTTAAATTTGTATGGACTGAAGTTGGACATAGATTCAATTGGGGATGGGGTTCGTTTCCGGGGCAGAATTCGAAAACCATTCAGTGTATTTGATCGAAACTTGGCAAATCTATCAGGCACATACTCAAGTGGTGCTTTTTGATATTTTGGGATTTTTCTAATTTTTATTTTTTTAATTTTTTTATGGAATGAAGTTGGACATAGACTAAATTGGGGATGGGGTTCGTTTCCAGGGCAGAAATCGAAAACCATTCAGTGTATTTGATCGAAACTTGGCAAATCTATCAGGCACATACTGAAGTGGTGCCTTTTGATATTTTGGGATTTTTCTAATTTTTATTTTTTTTAAATTGTTATGGAATGAAGTTGGACATAGACTAAATTGGGGATGGGGTTCGTTTCCCCATAGACATAGACTCAATCCAGGGCACAATTCAAAAACCATTCAGTGTATTTGATCGAAACTTGGCAAAGCTATCAGGCACATACTCAAGTGGTGCTTTTTGATATTTTGGGATTTTTCTAATTTTTATTTTTTAAAATGTTTATGGAATGAAGTTGGACATAGACTAAATTGGGGATGGGGTTCGTTTCCAGGGCGTTTTCCGGGGCAGAAATCGAAAACCATTCAGTGTATTTGATCGAAACTTGGCAAATCTATCAGGCACATACTGAAGTGGTGCCTTTTGATATTTTGGGATTTTTCTAATTTTTATTTTTTTAAATGTTTATGGAATGAAGATGGACATAGACTCAATTGGGGATGGGGCTCGTTTCCGGGGCAGAATTCGAAAACCATTCAGTGTATTTGATCGAAACTTGGCAAATCTATCAGGCACATACTGAAGTGGTGCTTTTTGATATTTTGGGATCTTTCTAAAAAAAATTAATTTTTTTAATTTCCCCCCCCCCCCCCGGCATATAATGCGGGGGGATATAGCGATCAACCAGTCTGTCTGTCCGTTCGTCTGTCCGTCCGTAATCATTTCCTTTTCCGGGGCAGAATTCGAAATCCATTCAGTGTATTTGATCGAAACTTGGCAAATCTATCAGGCACATACTGAAGTGGTGCCTTTTGATATTTTGGGATTTTTCTAATTTTTATTTTTTTAAATTGTTATGGAATGAAGTTGGACATAGACTAAATTGGGGATGGGGTTCGTTTCCGGGGCAGAAATCGAAAACCATTCAGTGTATTTGATCGAAACTTGGCAAAGCTATCAGCCACATACTCAAGTGGTGCCTTTTGATATTTTGGGATTTTTCGAATTTTTATTTTTTTAAATTGTTATGGAATGAAGTTGGACATAAACTCAATTGGGGATGGGGTTCGTTTCCAGGGCAGAAATCGAAAACCATTCAGTGTATTTGATCGAAACTTGGCAAAGCTATCAGGCACATACTGAAGTGGTGCCTTTTGATATTTTGGGATTTTTCTAATTTTTATTTTTTAAAATGTTTATGGAATGAAGATGGACATAGACTCAATTGGGGATGGGGTTCGTTTCCGGGGCAGAATTCGAAACCATTCAGTGTATTTGATCGAAACTTGGCAAAGCTATCAGGCACATACTGAAGTGGTGCCTTTTGATATTTGGGGATCTTTCTAAAAAGAAAAATGTTTTAATTTTTATCCCCCGGCATACAATGCGGGGGATATAGCGATCAACCAGTCTGTCTGTCCGTCCGTCTGTCCGTCCGTAATCATTTCCTTTTCCGGGGCAGAATTCGAAATCCATTCAGTGTATTTGATCGAAACTTGGCAGATCTATCAGGCACATACTGAAGTGGTGCCTTTTGATATTTTGGGATTTTTGTAATTTTTATTTTTTTTTAATTTTTATGGAATGAAGTTGGACATAGACTCAATTGGGGATGGGGTTCGTTTCCGGGGCAGAAATCGAAAACCATTCAGTGTATTTGATCGAAACTTGGCAAATCTATCAGGCACACAGGAAGTGGTGCCTTTTGTTATTTTGGGATTTTTCGAATTTTTATTTTTTTAAATTGTTATGGAATGAAGTTGGACATAGACTCAATTGGGGATGGGGTTCGTTTCCAGGGCAGAATTCTAAAACCATTCAGTGTATTTGATCGAAACTTGACAAAGCTATCAGGCACATACTGAAGTGGTGCCTTTTGATATTTTGGGATCTTTCTAAATTTTTTTAATTTTTTAAATTTTTTCCCCCCCCGGCATATAATGCGGGGGGATAGAGCGATCAACCAGTCTGTCTGTCCGTCCGTCTGTCCGTCCGTAATCATTTCCTTTTCCGGGGCAGAATTCGAAATCCATTCAGTGTATTTGATCGAAACTTGGCAGATCTATCAGGCACATACTGAAGTGGTGCCTTTTGATATTTTGGGATTTTTGTAATTTTTATTTTTTTTTAATTTTTATGGAATGAAGTTGGACATAGACTCAATTGGGGATGGGGTTCGTTTCCGGGGCAGAAATCGAAAACCATTCAGTGTATTTGATCGAAACTTGGCAAATCTATCAGGCACATACTGAAGTGGTGCCTTTTGATATTTTGGGATTTTTCGAATTTTTATTTTTTTTAAATTGTTATGGAATGAAGTTGGACATAAACTCAATTGGGGACGGGGTTCGTTTCCAGGGCACAATTCAAAAACCATTCAGTGTATTTGATCGAAACTTGGCAAAGCTATCAGGCACATACTGAAGTGGTGCCTTTTGATATTTTTGGATTTTTCTAATTTTTATTTTTTTAAATTTTTATGGAATGAAGTTGGACATAGACTCAATTGGGGATGGGGTTAGTTTCCGGGCCAGAATTCGAAAACCATTCAATGGGTAAACAATGTATGCTTCTAAAAGAACATTCAACTGTTGACTCATTACTTACAGAATTGCACATTTACTAGTGGTTACTTTACAGACAGCTGCCGTGGGGATAAGTCATCTTTCTGATGACTCTTGTTTATATTTGGAGAAAATGTCTATCTGCCTTTGTTTGTTTGAATACAGCAATTAACCAGAGGATGTAAAATCTTTCCTTTTTACATCATGATCCGAGTCACATTAATGTGAGGTTCTCATCGCCAACAGCCAAAATAACCTTTCACTTGAAATTCAGGAAGTTCCATTTGAGGTCTACTGATAAAAAAATTATTGATTGATGAGGAACCTCAATCACTGAAGAACAGTCTGAATGGAAGGCAGATGTATGCATACTGAAATTGACACAGTATGGATATTTCTTTTCTTAGAATTGTTTTTATAATGTCGATAAGAAGTGTCATTTTCCTTATCATTTGAACAGATATACCTTTTTCAAAAACTAAAAGTAATGAATATATATGTTGAACAAAAAGATTCTAATAAATAGCCAAAGACATGCTGTTGGTGTTCATAAAAGACTTTAAAAATTGTGTAAGTTATTTTTATGTCATTTATGACAATGTTTAAAACTCTTGGTACGAGTCTGTAAATATATTCATGACGTATATCAAGTCGCTTTGCTTCTCAAACGAATTTTTAAAAATCAGCAGAAGAAAAATAAAGTTGGCCTGGTTCTTTTATGACGTGCAATAGAAGCAGGGGGGATTCATTAGATCGATGCCCCATTTTCCACAGCGGATGGAAAAAACTATGTTATTTATATTATTTCAATGTCGGAATGGAGATGAGGAACTCAGACAAAACACGGACAGCCTTACACACTTCGAAACGATGTTCAGATAAATATTTGTTCACAATAATTCTGTCATGTGCGTGAAAATGGATTTCAACATTATTTTCATCAAGATTATTTCGCGCATCCGAATTGGATGCCAGATTGTGTTTAAAAACTTGTGCTCGAAGTGTATCCAAATCCACCGGACAAAAAATACATGGGACACATGTGGATCTAATAATCAAACTCAGTTTTGTGTGTGAACATTATGTGAAAGAAAAGGAAATCCGTAATTACAATTGTCATGGAATATATGTTGGTCAAAACATAGATCTAGTTTTATTTCGTAACTTATTTGTCAGTTAGTTATGTGCATTGTTAGGCCTATATGTTGATACACGTGACACATTAATATATTGTTGTCAAGCTTAGAAATATTGGTGCAACTCCTGGTGATTGAAATAAGGCCTCTTCCTAAACACTAGTTGAAAAATCTATGGAATAATTTAAGTTTCAAAAAAGTAATCTGTGGTATAACTCTTGTATGCAAGTGACAAAAACTAAACATATAAGCTACACAAATGTCTATGTCATTTTCGGATTTAACTGAGATAATCTTGTCGCTAATACTTGTTTAACTAACGTTCATTTCATATTCATGTATCGTTACTGTTACATTTACCGAAGACACGTGAAGATCCGGCTTAGAATAGGTCTTCAGAAACCTATGCTTGCCGTAACAGGCGACTATGCGTGTCGTAACAGGCGACTATACGTGTATGTTGGGGCTAGACTAGACTTCAAATAGACTTCCTGGATATGGAATATTATGCTGTCCAAACGTAAGAAATGTGTCTACGCCCTGAGTGACACAACCTAAAAGTAAAAGCAACTTAAATACACCAAATCGCATTATACTTTGAAAACAAAGTAATGGTTTTGAACAGAACTATTACAAATAGGAATTAAATAAGTTCACTTGACTTTCAGTCAGTCAGTGAGCTAAAACGAAAGAATGAATAGATTTTTTAAAATTGGCGTCATCTTTTATTTCCAATCAACCTTACCGTTTCTACTTGAGCTCTGGCTAGTATCTCCATTACGTTATCTTGTAAACGATCCTCTTTAAGATATGATCCCACACCTTCCACATCAATGATGCCTGCCTTTGCTTTCAGGGAAATATCCCCCGATATTCCAAGGATGTTGTTGACATCGCTCGATTTCTTAATCACCGAGTACTTGACTGTGTTTGAATGACGTTCAACAGTCGAAGTTTTGGCTATGTCATCCGGAGAAAATATGTTTAGACCACAAGCAAATGTTCGCATATCAAATACCCGGCCAATGGTCATTCCTGGCTGGTAGAGGACCGTTGTAGCCATTTTTCTGTAAAAACAAAAGACCAAACACAGATAAGTCCAATATGTATGGAATAATTAACAGGCAAAACGCATTTAAACCTATAGAGATAAATTATGGATAACAACTTCATTTCCTTTAAAGGCGACGTTTCTGTATAGATCCTTATACCGTTGTACTTGCTTGACAACGGTATAAGGATCTATACCGAAACGTCGCCTTTACAGTAAATAAAAAAGTTGTTATCCATAAATTATCTCTCCTTTGTCATCTATCAATCTCTAAGTAATGCCTATCAAACAATGCATTGAAACCTATTATTCTGAGCAAAACGTCAGAAAGCTGCACTGTAGAAATAATCACAGAACGAGTCACGCACTGGTCACTGACAAAATTGCAATCGGCAAATTGTTTACAGCAATCGTAGTTGAAATATCTGATCACTTTTACGTAGAAGTAGTTGTGTTGTACTTGATTTGAATTTGCAATGCTAATATTATACACCATTTTGTGTTTATCAGCATAAAACACATACCTTACAAGTGTGATTATTCCGACATGCGGCACAACCAACAACCACAGCGTGCGCACCTGTCCCGCTTTGATCTAGCAACTTATAGTACTCATTTTGAAATCACGAGTCACGCCGAACTATATCTGAGCCAATGATTGCAACCCTCTGCACTCGTGATCAAAACCTGGCTCATCTGATGTGCAAAGTACGCGGGTAGGAAAACGTTTTTATCGGGGAATTGCAGTCACATGTTATAATGAGGTGTCCGCCTCGGGCCAGTTTAGTTTAGATCGACGCAGTTAGACAGGCAGGTATTCTATTAGTTTGTTTTTTTCTTCAACGCCACACTCAGCAATATTCCAGCTATATGATGGCGGTCTGTAAATAATCGAGTCTGGACCAGGCACCGATCCACGCAACCGGTATAACTTGACATGTAACAATATGGGCGGATACAGTTTTTTTAAAAGGAGGGTAGCACAATTAAGATCTATTTATTGTCTTTGGTGGTAATTTATACAGAAATAAAGATTTGTTTTCGAAGTAAAGGGGGGGGTCTCAAGATGTCTCAAGCTACTGTCTGGATACCACCCAAATATATATTTTTTGTTTTTTTGTTTCTTGTTTTACGCCGCACTCAGCAATATTCCAACTATATGACGTCGGTCTGTAAATAATCGAGTCTGGTCCAGACAGTCCAGTGATTGATATCATGAACATAGATCCACGCAATTGGGATCGATGACATGCATCAACCAAGTCATTTGCACCCAGAGACAATAAAGCATATCAGCGTCGTCAAACATATCATCGTTCATAATGAACATGCATTTGTTTACGTGTGTGGCTTTTATGGTACTGTGAGAGATCTGGTCTCTGTGCTCGTCTCTTTCCCTCTCCAAATGTATGTATCATTCTCTAGCAGACGTTTTATAACAATAGCACTCAGCAATTTTTCAGCTATGTAACGGCGGTCTGTACAAAATCGAGTCTGGACCAGACAATCCAGTGATTAACATCATGAGCGTCGATCTACGCAGCATAAACCAAGTCAGCGAGTCTGACCACCCGATCCCGTTAGTCGCCTTTTACGGCAAGCATGGTTTCTGGAGACCTATTCTAGCCCGGATCCTCACGGGCCAGCTGTTACAGTAAGCCCAGCTTCGTAAGAGTCTTCCTGTCTAATCTGCCTGTCCCTATACAAGTGTACTTAAACAAAACAAAACAATACAAGTGAATTTGGATTCAGAACTTTGTATTTATGTCAGGTACAGACCAATATGAACAGAGTCAATGTCAAATTAGTTGCCGTGGAAATGAACATTAATCTAAAGAATCCCTAAATAACCTGGTCTTTGTGTGCAAACAGTTTCAAGAAAGAATACCAATCAAGTAAGGATAAGATATATGGATGAACAACTTCTTTATGAGAATTAGGAACGAAGTTTCGGTGTAGGTTCTAACACAGTTATCAAGTGATGTACAGAGTACTGTTGACAAGTATATAAATAGTTGCGAGCAGTTTTTTTACATCAATACACAATGCCATTTAGAAAGTGGTCAAATGTAACAAATGTTATGTATGTGATAGCACTTCCTTAGTACAGTACAGATTCTCGTACTTTTGGGGGGTTGAGATCCGTCCGGGATTCGAACCCACACTGCCAGAGTGAGTCACCTTATCGCCAGGACACATGATGAATAGGAAATGGGTGTTCAACGCCACTGCAGCCGGTTATAACTAGGAATGAAGTCTGCATCCGCTTATGATATGGTATGACGTCACGCTAAAAATAGATGTCAGTCGCCATGGACCAGTGTATTTCAAGGTGTGGTGCAAGAGGGGAAATCCCCCGCTATAGATAGATCAACGGTTACACATTCAAATATGGCCTAATAAGTATCAAAATCTGTAGAATAGTATGTATGAAATTCCTTTGAAATAGTGAGGAAACAATGTAGTCAGTTCTTTTATGTTTACATTAGTTGCATAGGTAAAGGAGAATTGTTTTGTTACTGTAAACAGAGTGATGAACTAGGTCACATAACAGCCTTGTCCATTGAATGCAATCAGTTGTGTAAATGTGTTACATTTTTGAAAGAATCTTCTCTTCTTCTCGTGATTTACTAACTGCAATAGTATATTTAATAAACTGGTAAGTTTAACAACTCATGTTCTGATCATTTTGCGATCCCGTTTGACAGCTTCTGAACTTACAAAAAACACGTGAGTAACAAATGAGATATACAATACATTGGAAAGATAACATAATGCTTTTCAGTGGTATTTTAAGTTTATAAACACAATACTGCGAAAAAGTAATTAACAAGTAAATACATAAGCAAATATTCTTACACACTGGCGCACTAAACATATCTCCATTCATTGTGTGCATGCTGTGAAGTTCTAAATTTTGTCAGTCATGAAAAATATACTTTAACCAGGTTTCGAAGCCAAGATACACCTAACACTCTAACTCGCAATTATCTCCTTGTTTTCTCAAAATGGCGAGCGTGACAGTGACCAAGTCGGAAGTGAGCAATGTCACGTGGTCTTGACGCCGCGTGCAATCTACCGGCAGGAAAGTAAATTCGTAGTTCTACCGTTTTTATTAGTTTCAAGAAAATCAGTGATGGTACTCTCGTGTCACTTGATGTTCTGGTTCATGAATCACTTGATTGTCTGATTTGTTTACAGGCTTACATTGCAGGAGTAAGGCTGTGCGGCGTCAGACAATAAATTGTTTTATGCAAATTGTATGAATGCCGGGTGCTACCTTTTCGCGAACACCTGGTGTCATCACTGATTTTCAGTGGTCCATTTATATAATTCCCACAGTTCATTGCCTTTTACGCCAAGCGGATTTCTATTACGACAGAACATCTGGGATGGTTATTCTCTTGCATTGACAATTTAGCTTTACTAACCCATTCTGGCTGCTGTTACTAATTAAGTTAGTAGAATTAACTAAACTTTTTTCTCAGTGTAGCAATAGCACAGGCGCGTTGAAGCGTCACATTTACACCAACTAGAATGTTTTTGGTTTGGTTTGGTCGTTGTTTTACGCCGCACTCAGCAATATTCCAGCTATATGACGGCGGTCGGTAAATAATCGAGTCTGGACCAGACAATCCAGTGATTTACATCATGAACATCGATCCACGCAATTGGGATCGATGACATGCATCAACCAAGTCAGCAAGTCTGACCATCCGATCCCGTAAGTCACCTTTTACGACAAGCATAGTCACCTTTTACGGCTAGCATGGGTTGCTGAAGACCTATTCTATCCCGGAATTTTCACGGATCCAACTAGAATGTACACCAATCCTAAAACCAACCCTATAAGACGAGTGGAGGTAGTGCCACCACAACCACTTACATGACACAATAACACAGTTGCAACACCTGTGCAAGATATGAAGATAAACCACACACGGACGTCAAATCACCAGTTATTACTACAATAACAGCACAGGGAACATCAACACCATATAACAGGCAACACAATGTGCAAAGTGTTTAACCAAATTATGAAAAACGAATAAAAGCGCTGTTGTTACTTAATCACATTGTTTTCAGTATGAGTTACCTGTAGATTTGAGTGAGTGAGTTTTACGCCGCTTTAACAGATATTCTAGCAATATCCAGACGGGGGACACCAGGAACAGGCTTCACACAGTGTACCCATGTGAGGAGTCGAAACCAGGCCTCCGGTGAGAATGGCGAACGCCTTAACCACCAGGCTACCAGACCGCCACGTCTAGATTGGAATTTGGAAACTTTCAGTGGCCAGCCAAACATCTGACATGACGGTCATGTGTTCCGAACAAGTCATGTCCTTCAATGACACACTGAGATTTTATGAACTCGACATACCCTTAGACCTAGTAGGGGCGGTCGGGTAGCCTAGTAGTTAAAGCGTTCGCTCGTCACGCCGAAGATCCGGGTTCGATTTCCGACATGGGTACAATGTGTGAAGCCCATTTCTGGTGTCCCCCGCTGTGATATTGCTGGAATATTGCTAAAAGCGGCGTAAAACCATACTCACTCACTCACTCATTTAACAAGGGTATTTTCACACCTCGCTGTTCGCTTACACTTACTTCTTTAATGAAAATTGTGTGACTGTGCTACTGGTAGGAGTGAGTGAGTATCGTTCTACGCCGCTTTTAGCATGTGTAAGCAATATCACAGCGGGGGACAACGCAAATGTGCTTCACACATTGTAACCATGTCGGGAATCTCACTCACTCACTCACTCACTCACTTAGACCTGGTTCACGGTCTAGACTAGATCTGGACATTCTTACCTTTTGAGTCCACCCACTAGTAATATATTGTCTATAAAACATAAAGGGGCGGTCGGGTAGCCTAGTGGTTAAAGCGTTCGCTCGTCACGCCGAAGACCCGGGTTCGATTCCCGACACGGGTACAATGTGTGAAGCCCATTTCTGGTGTCCCCCGCCGTGATATTGCTGGAATATTGCTAAAAGCGGCGTAAAACCAAACTCACTCACTCATTCACCATAAAACATAAACTGCGTTTTGGTTTTCCCTTGCCATTGATGCCCAGAAGATGGCCTCCAAGTGATTGACTCGCAAATAAAGCATGGTAAAGAAAACAGACAAGTTCAGTTTACCACCAGGAAACACATCCTAGTAGTAGCTTTGTTTGAACATGAGTGAGAGGTGTGACGTGACAGAATAGGATGACAGGTAACTCTAAAAATAGGCTGCCACATTGTTTTCCTGTGGGGAGACGAACCCAGGACTAATTCGGAGAAGTGACACAATACCCTACGGACAATATATGTATTATAATGTTCAGCTATAATTATACTGTTTTTTCCAAATCTGGTAGCATCAATATTTGATAGTGATTCATAGACACCTGCTTCTCATGTCCGGTTGATTTTATGTATTATTGACAAAAAGATATAAACAGTGGGATTTGTCTTTTCTAAATGAGTACGGTTGATAAACATGTATCTCATTAGAGGCTACGTACACACGGAATATTGTTTTGGTTGCTTTTAACGAAAGCAACACAATCTTTTCCATTATCATGCTGCTGGGTAGGTGTTGTAACCAATGCTCCTGGTAATAACATTAAGTTTTCATAAACTAAGGTAGTTTAACTCACATTTCATTTCATAAGTTATTTTAATGTATTTACATGTCTTTGAGACATTCCCTAGTACTTTGACTGGATATAAAGGTGGCCTTGGATCACGCATGCGGCAAGCATGTTTGACCCACATTATGTCATTGTTCTTACCCCCGCTACAGGGCCATGTCAACGATAACAACTACATGATAACAATGGAGAAAATATTTCTATTCTGACATGAAATATTACAAAGCTGCCATTTTAAGTTATGTCAGTGATTATCCTGCTGTTATCACCAACGTATGTCGCGTGATTGTGTGTTCATTGGAAAATCATTGTGGAAGACGAACCAGTGCATGCTCTGTCTACAAATATTTAAAAGAGGGTCATACGACGCTTGATCAAACTTTTTGAAAACATGCAGCAAGATTATAAATGACATTCAAGGTCTCCGTAAAACTTTCATAAAGTTTATGGTAGACATGTAGTGTTACCAAAATAATGTCCTATGTAATTCCCTATTTGACTTTTCTTACACACCTGTGGGCGAGAAAGCCATTTGAGATAACTGTTATCAAACATGTGTGTGAGGTGGAATTCCAGGCCCGCGATTGGTTATGACCTGAGGTCAGATTATGACGGAGAACTTTACTGATTGTAATTCATTGATAAGTTGCTCGTGATTCAGTCGAATGTTCATGACCTGAGGTCAAATTATGACGGACAACTTTACTGATTGTAATTCATTGATAAGTTGCTCGTGCTTCAGTCGAAAGTTCACCTACGTCTGTGTTGAACGTTATTAATTTTAGAGTGTAGACCCCCTGGATGCCACATACACATAAATGTCCCTCCTCTTCAACCCTCACTTCGAAGTCGAATAAAATTAAAAAGAAACTACGCACACTGATACAATTCTCTGTTTTGAATTTGGTGGGAAATACCCTCTTCTGTGATATCATTCAGTGTCTTTTTAGGAAGAGCAAAACATCTGAAAGTGACCCAGGAAAATTCAGTACATAGTAAATCTCGGCATTTTTGACACATAACTAAATCACCATTCATGGCGTTATTTACTCTGTGTTTCAAAAATCTAAATATCGGATATTTACTCGAAGAATTGAATTTTCAAAATAGATTATTAGTGATCATGGGTATCTGTTTGTCATTTACTCACTAATGATAATTTTGAAACGTCGCCTAGAATTGTTTAGAATATTTAGGAAAATACGCCGAAGAGAACGTTCCGCCATATTGGATAGTGTTTACAAAATCACGTTTCAAGTGCCGATTATTATTCAGAGTCCCGTATTAGATCACGTATATTTCCCTGAATTCCTCATACAATTTAGAATCAAATGACAAATGGTCTTTGTCACCAATACAAATTATTTAGATGAAACTAAACGAAATAAATGAGGGGTGTAGACGAACACTGTACTTGTTGACGAACACTGTACTTGTTGAAATATAAAAGCGAATTCAGATTTTACACTGTGTAGTATTTTCTCCTATTAGAGCTATCCATTCGTATAATATTACATACATTGGCTCACGCGTTTGACACTATTCATGGGAAGAGTATCATATCACGAATTATGGAATTAAAAATATAAACAACACAATGATCAAGTAAATTCAACAGAAATCGTGAACGTTTTCGTCCTGACGCCATGACTGACTGAAAGTCACGCACAACGACGGCGGTAGTTATCTGCATTTCTGACGAATTCTCTGGGTTACATTGGAAAACATAAAACAAATAACAGTACGCAGATTGTCAGAATATTTCTGATTACTTACATGACAGTTATGAACATGTATATACGATCCCTCAATCAACGAAAATCCTCCTCTGGAAATCCCGCGAAATTGCTATTTTATAATAAAAGTCAGTCACCGGTATTGATGTCATAGGGGAGTAAACATTGTTGTACATATTTGGTAATTTCTTTGAGGTGAATTTTTTTCACTCATGCGGCATCATGCGGGTTCTTTGACCTTATCAGTTTGCATTATCATCATCATCATCATCATTATAATCAACAGTTCGCGGAAACGTTTTTAGGTTTAGGTGTAGGGTCACAATATTTATGAATAGTAAGCAGTACGTCGGATGACGTCACTCGTTGTGTTATTTATGTATTAATGCGCATTATGTATTAATGCGCCACTGCGATCATGAGAATAGACAAAATGCATCGATTCGATGCTAAAGAGATGCGATTTTAGGGTGTGTAAGAAACAGATTACTGCACTCGTGCCTGTCAGATACCATTTATCTTACAACTCGTTGTTTAAAGCGTATTTCGCGTGTTATATACGTTTTGAAACAACTCATTGTAAGATAAATGGTATCTGACAGGCACTCGTCTAGTAATCTCTATGTACCATATGTTCCTGTGGTTGTTCGGGTGAACGCTTCACTTGCCTTTGCATGTGTTTGTTCGGAGGACTCCCTCACCTTTTCGCAAACACTTGGTATCATCACCATTGTGATTCATAAACACATGCTTATGATATTGTCGCGATCGTACGGCGGTGGAGTAGCCGAAGGCCCGGGTTCGATTCCCTACATGTGTACAATGTGTGAAGCCCGTTTCTGGTGTCCCCCGCCGTAATGTTGCTGGAATATAACTAAAAGCGGCGTGAAACAAAACTGACTCAAGCAACAGTTGCAAACACACGCAAACAAACTTGTGTTAGTAAGCATATAGCCTTCAACTGGTTCGTCCCTGCTATTTCGCTACATACAGACGATTACAATTTGTGGAAACATCAAGAAAACGGGTAATCCACTCTGAGAGAGCAAAGGTCGGCTACGTAAAGGATTGACTGTAAGATCAGGCAGGCTGGTATGTGGCTCGTAGTCTTCCGTCGACATAGTCACGGGACGTGACGGGTTTATATTTGTTGGACCCATCCAGACACTCAATAACAACCTCATCGTCAGGATCCACAAACAGGGCAACAGACTGTCGACAACAAGCCTTCATCTTCTCGTGGTGTGGGATGATCACTCGGTGGACCTGGTGACATGAGACAATTGTGGTATGCAGTTCACATATGCAGTGTGTACAGTCTGCTTGTGAAGATCTAATGAAGCAATAGACTGTTTTAATTAGGATCCAATTAGTTTGTTACTGCTGTTTAATCCTCTTAATCATGTTATCCTTATCCTTACTGTACATCTAGCTTCATAACCCCCGTGCTTCATCACCTGTGTGCTATTTGTTATTTTTACTGTACATCTGGCTTCATCATCTGTGTGCTATTTGTTATCCTTACTGTACATTTGGCTTCATTACCCCTGTGATTCATTACCATGTGCTATTTGTTATCCTTACTGTACATCTGGCTTCATCATCTGTGTGCTATTTGTTATCCTAACTGTACATTTGGCTTCATTACCCCTGTGCTTCATCAGCTGTGTGCTATTTGTTATCCTTACTGTACATCTGGCTTCATTACCCCTGTGCTATTTGTTATTCTCACTGTACATCTGGCTTCATTACCATGTGCTATTTGTTATCCTAACTGTACATTTGGCTTCATTACCCCTGTGATTCATTACCTGTGTGCTATTTGTTATCCTAACTGTACATCTGGCTTCATTACCCCTGTGATTCATTACCATGGGCTATTTGTTATTCTTACTGTACATCTGGCTTCATCACCTGTGTGCTATTTGTTATCCTTACTGTACATCTGGCTTCATCACCTGTGTGCTATTTGTTATCCTTACTGTACATCTCGCTTCATCACCTGTGTGCTATTTGTTATCCTTACTGTACATCTGGCTTCATCATCTATGTGCTATTTGTTATCCTTACTGTACATCTGGCTTCATCACCTGTGTGCTATTTGTTATCCTAACTGTACATTTGGCTTCATCATCTATGTGCTATTTGTTATCCTTACTGTACATCTGGCTTCATCACCTGTGTGCTATTTGTTATCCTAACTGTACATTTGGCTTCATTACCCCTTTGATTCATTACCATGGGCTATTTGTTATCCTTACTGTACATCTGGCTTCATCATCTATGTGCTATTTGTTATCCTTACTGTACATCTCGCTTCATCACCTGTGTGCTATTTGTTATCCTTACTGTACATCTGGCTTCATCACCTGTGTGCTATTTGTTATCCTTACTGTACATCTCGCTTCATTACCCGTGTGCTATTTGTTATCCTAACTGTACATTTGGCTTCATCATCTATGTGCTATTTGTTATCCTTACTGTACATCTGGCTTCATTACCCGTGTGCTATTTGTTATCCTTACTGTACATGTGGCTTCGTCATCTATGTGCTATTTGTTATCCTTACTGTACATCTCGCTTCATCACCTGTGTGCTATTTGTTATCCTTACTGTACATCTGGCTTCATCATCTATGTGCTATTTGTTATCCTTACTGTACATCTGGCTTCATCACCTGTGTGCTATTTGTTATCCTAACTGTACATTTGGCTTCATCATCTATGTGCTATTTGTTATCCTTACTTTACACCTGGCGTCATCACCTGTGTGCTATTTGTTATCCTAACTGTACATTTGGCTTCATTACCCCTGTGATTCATTACCATGGGCTATTTGTTATCCTTACTGTACATCTGGCTTCATCATCTATGTGCTATTTGTTATCCTTACTGTACATCTGGCTTCATCACCTGTGTGCTATTTGTTATCCTTACTGTACATCTGGCTTTATTACCCCTGTGCTATTTGTTATCCTTACTGTACATCACGCTTCATCACCTGTGTGCTATTTGTTATCCTTACTGTACATCTGGCTTCATCATCTATGTGCTATTTGTTATCCTTACTGTACATCTCGCTTCATTACCCGTGTGCTATTTGTTATCCTAACTGTACATTTGGCTTCATCATCTATGTGCTATTTGTTATCCTTACTGTACATCTGGCTTCATTACCCGTGTGCTATTTGTTATCCTTACTGTACATGTGGCTTCATCATCTATGTGCTATTTGTTATCCTTACTGTACATCTCGCTTCATCACCTGTGTGCTATTTGTTATCCTAACTGTACATCTGGCTTCATCACCTGTGTGCTATTTGTTATCCTAACTGTACATTTGGCTTCATCATCTATGTGCTATTTGTTATCCTTACTTTACACTTGGCTTCATCACCTGTGTGCTATTTGTTATCCTAACTGTACATTTGGCTTCATTACCCCTGTGATTCATTACCATGGGCTATTTGTTATCCTTACTGTACATCTGCCTTCATCATCTATGTGCTATTTGTTATCCTTACTGTACATCTGGCTTCATCACCTGTGTGCTATTTGTTATCCTTACTGTACATCTGGCTTCATCATCTATGTGCTATTTGTTATCCTTACTGTACATCTGGCTTCATCACCTGTGTGCTATTTGTTATCCTTACTGTACATCTGGCTTCATCATCTATGTGCTATTTGTTATCCTTACTGTACATCTGGCTTCATCATCTATGTGCTATTTGTTATCCTTACTGTACATCTGGCTTCATCACCTGTGTGCTATTTGTTATCCTTACTGTACATCTGGCTTCATCATCTATGTGCTATTTGTTATCCTTACTGTACATCTGGCTTCATTACCCGTGTGCTATTTGTTATCCTTACTGTACATGTGGTTTCATCATCTATGTGCTATTTGTTATCCTTACTGTACATCTCGCTTCATCACCTGTGTGCTATTTGTTATCCTTACTGTACATCTGGCTTCATCACCTGTGTGCTATTTGTTATCCTAACTGTACATTTGGCTTCATCATCTATGTGCTATTTGTTATCCTTACTTTACACCTGGCTTCATCACCTGTGTGCTATTTGTTATCCTAACTGTACATTTGGCTTCATTACCCCTGTGATTCATTACCATGGGCTATTTGTTATCCTTACTGTACATCTGGCTTCATCATCTATGTGCTATTTGTTATCCTTACTGTACATCTGGCTTCATCACCTGTGTGCTATTTGTTATCCTTACTGTACATCTGGCTTCATCATCTATGTGCTATTTGTTATCCTTACTGTACATCTGGCTTCATCACCTGTGTGCTATTTGTTATCCTTACTGTACATATGGCTTCATCATCTATGTGCTATTTGTTATCCTTACTGTACATCTGGCTTCATCACCTGTGTGCTATTTGTTATCCTTACTGTACATCTGGCTTCATCATCTATCTGCTATTTGTTATCCTTACTGTACATCTGGCTTCATCACCTGTGTGCTATTTGTTATCCTTACTGTACATCTGGCTTCATCATCTATGTGCTATTTGTTATCCTTACTGTACATCTCGCTTCATCACCTGTGTGCTATTTGTTATCCTAACTGTACATCTGGCTTCATTACCCCTGTGATTCATTACCATGTGCTATTTGTTATCCTAACTGTACATCTGGCTTCATCACTTGTGTGCTATTTGTTATCCTTACTGTACATTTCGCTTCATCACCTGTGTGCTATTTGTTATCCTTACTGTACATCTGGCTTCATCACCTGTGTGCTATTTGTTATCCTTACTGTACATCTCGCTTCTTCACCTGTGTGCTATTTGTTATCCTTACTGTACATCTAGCTTCATCATCTATGTGCTATTTGTTATCCTTACTGTACATCTCGCTTCATCACCTGTGTGCTATTTGTTATCCTAACTGTACATTTGGCTTCATTACCCCTGTGATTCATTACCATGGGCTATTTGTTATCCTTACTGTACATCTGGCTTCATCATCTGTGTGCTATTTGTTATCCTTACTATACATCTGGCTTCATTACCCGTGTGATTCATCAGCTGTGTGCTATTTGTTATCCTAACTGTACATCTGGCTTCATCACCTGTGTGCTATTTGTTATTCTTACTGTACATCTGGCTTCATTACCCGTGTGATTCATTACCTTGTGCTATTTGTTATCCTTACTGTACATCTCGCTTCATCATCTATGTGCTATTTGTTATCCTTACTGTACAGCTGGCTTCATTACCCCTGTGCTTCATCAGCTGTGTGCTATTTGTTATCCTAACTGTACATCTGGCTTCATTACCCCTGTGCTATTTGTTATTCTCACTGTACATCTAGCTTCATTACCATGTGCTATTTGTTATCCTAACTGTACATTTGGCTTCATTACCCCTGTGATTCATTACCATGGGCTATTTGTTATCCTTACTGTACATCTGGCTTCATCACCTGTGTGCTATTTGTTATCCTTACTATACATCTAGCTTCATTACCCCTGTGCTATTTGTTATTCTTACTGTACATCTGGCTTCATTACCATGTGCTATTTGTTATCCTAACTGTACATTTGGCTTCATTACCCCTGTGCTTCATCAGCTGTGTGCTATTTGTTATCCTTACTGTACATCTGGCTTCATCAGCTGTGTGCTATTTGTTATCCTTACTGTACATCTCGCTTCATCACCTGTGTGCTATTTGTTATCCTTACTGTACATCTTGCTTCATTACCCGTGTGCTTAATCACCATGTGCTATGTGTTATCCTTACTGTACATCTGGATTCATTACCCCCGTGCTATTTGTTATTCTTACTGTACATCTGGCTTCATTACCATGTGCTATTTGTTATCCTAACTGTACATTTGGCTTCGTTACCCCTGTGCTTAATCAGCTGTTTGCTATTTGTTATCCTTACTCTACAGCTGGCTTCATCATCTGTGTGCTATTTGTTATCCTTACTGTACATCTGGCTTCATCACCTGTGTGCTATTTGTTATTCTTACTGTACATCTGTCTTCATTACCCGTGTAATTCATTACCATGTGCTATTTGTTATCCTTACTGTACATCTGGCTTCATCACCTGTGTGCTATTTGTTATCCTAACTGTACATCTGGCTTCATTACCCGTGTGACTCATTACCATGTGCTATTTGTTATCCTTACTGTACATCTCGCTTCATCACCTGTGTGCTATTTGTTATTCTTACTGTACATCTGGCTTCATCACCTGTGTGCTATTTGTTATTCTTACTGTACATCTG